CTTAAATTTAGGGATTAGTATTTTTCTATTCTATAGTTTATGGATAGTATTTTCTATTCCATAATTTATAGATAGTATTTTCTATTCCATAATTTAGGGATAGTATTTTCTATTATATAATTTAGGGATAGTATTTTCTGTTATATAATTTTCTATCTAAGAACTTTCAACTTGCATTTGAACATTTTTTAGTTTCCATGAAACGAACATTTGTTTTATGTTTAGCTTATCTGCTGGGCTTCTTCGTCAAGCTTCTTATACTACTGTTCGGATGGGAGTGTACACGTCACTTTTTGAAACAATTTCGTAAGTCTCTGTCTTCTATCATGACTACTGTTTTACACAAGTATTGAAATTGAAACTTAAATGAAAGAATTAGGATATGTGTAATTTCAGAGAGTGAGTAATTACGACATAAAAGAAGAAAAAACAGTTAAAAAGGTAATAAAAACTAGTTTTAGCAAATGAAAGTATTTTTTAGGGTCACTTGCCAGTTGTACTGTTTAATGTGGTTGACTTGATAAATGTTTGTGATATCCAAATGATACTGCTATGTTTGATTGGGGCAAAACCAAGTACAAGCTGTTAAGTGTTCATTTATGTTGTTTATGTGTTGAAGGAATTTTATCTGTACATTGTGGTTTAAAGAGTTGTTAGGAAAGGCATGATTAGGCATAAGATTATTGAGTTTTTATTGACTTTTGGTAGACCATAGATTTTTGGTACTCTTGGTGGTAGGTGTGCAAACAGTTGTAAAGTTTATATGTAATACAAACGAAATCCCTCAAACAGATAAACAACATACATAAAGACATACAGTTTACAGTTGAAATTAAAAATAACTACTAATAAATCTTTTAAATGTTACCATCACCTTACCCACCAAGGTTTAACCACTAAAATTCTTAGAAAAAAACATACAGTAGAAATTAAATTCATTCTCTTATCATGTAATTCATAAGAAACTTGATGCACTAAAAAGCCTTTTAAATTTAGCATCTGCTATATGCACCAGAAAAAATATCAAATAAGAAGATGCACACTTAATTCAGTGCATTACTAACTTAAACCAGTTCTCTATCACAGTAGTTACACAAACTATTAACCAATTTAAAAACTCAGAGAAGACGTGTTTAACAAATAAATTCCAAAACCACTCCACTAAATGAAGAACACCTAACCACTGGTACTATCCCATAGGAAACATTAACATGAACTTGGAAAAGATTAGCATGTAAATATAATTAACAATAACATAATGATTAGATTTATTTTGAACCGTGGAATAATTTTTATTTTTAATTATTTTGATAATTTTTTTTTAAGAAAATTATATAACGAACTCACCCCTTCAGGAATCATTTCCAAAATACAATGTAACAATTGCCCAGCTTCTTACATAGGTGAAAAAAGGACATAATTTAACATTATTTAAAAAGAAAAACACCATAAACCCTCTTCCCACATCGATGAAAATATGAACAAAACAACCACAGTTTTCCAAACAAAATGTCACCATGTTGAAGCAAAACAAACAGAAGAAAAATTAGAGAAGTCTTATTAATAAAATTGAACAATCCCAAAATCAACAAACATCCAGGTATGACTGTGTGTTTGGGTCATTATTTCCCCATACATTCCTAATTTTACCCAAATGTTTCACATAACATTTTCTACATATTTTTTTTATATAAACTGTCAATTCACTCGTATTGATATGTAAGCATAAATAGCCACTATTGAATGTCAATTTAAATACAAAAAAACCTTCTTTATTGTTAAAAACCTGTGTACTTGAGAATGATTTTATCAGTGATTGAAACATTGTACCTGTTTAAATAAAAATTATCCTTACTGTCGAAAGCTGTAATTTGTAAAAACAAGTAAAAATGTTTATGTATATACTGACTTTTGGATATGTAGACCAAATCCGTCTTTAGGTGTGGTTGCCATATGAAAACACTTGTGGCATTTGTGATGCCAAAAAAAAAGGAAGTTGTATGACAGTAAATTTTCTAATCCTAATTGTTTATAATAATTTGGATAAAACAGTTTTGTTTTATGAACTTTTAATTCACAGAACCTTCAAAGCATCACATGTCACATCGTTTACTGTCACAGTTTATGTAATTTCAAGTAAGTTGTCAAGATTAACTATGTCATACAATTTTAAATGATCTTGTGTTTACTACTTTTCTGAAGCTCTGCTGCAATTATATTTACAGTACTTATTTCTTTTGTCTATCAGAAAAGATGGAAAACCACCAAACTTTTTTATGAAAGCTACAATTGGCATGACAGCAGGGGCAGTTGGAGCTTTTTTTGGAACACCTGCAGAAATTTCTTTGATCCGTATGACAGCAGATGGGCGGTAAGTTGGAACTGAGTTTAAAAAGAAGAGTAGGCAAAATAGGTGATGTTACTGATGTTTGTGATAGAATTTCAAATCTAATTAAATGCCTTTGTTGATCAGAGATATCCTTAATTGTTTCACTATTTCTTTTACTAGCAAGTGCATCAAAGTACAAAGATATTCATGAGAAGAACTTTGTCTAAATGAACAGACTTATTGTTGGAAATAGATTAAAAAGAATTAGTAGCTTATGGAATTTTAAGTGTTCTAAAGAGACCCTCATAATGTGAACAAAAAATTTAATTTGGTTGAGGCTGTGATTGAAAATATGAAGAAAGACAAACTATTTCCATTAGTGTAAATGACATATTCTCTCACGGCTGACAAGAAAATACTACTAAAAAATTTTCAAAAGGAATTTCACCTTAAAAATAATTAATTGTAAGTTTATTATTGAAAATTATTGGTTCCTGTATTATTTGTCAATATGTAAGATGTCAGTGTTTCAGCTCATATAGTTTACTTCACGTAATTGGTCTTTACAACTACAGGATCTTCTTTAAATGAACTTTAAATCTTCTTGAAAATTGGACTGAAGCTACTTGTGACCTTGAAGAATTTCACAATTTTTGATTAAAAGCAAACAATAAAGAATTTCTGAAAAGAAATAAAAAAAAAAGGCTTTCTTTATAATCAAGGAGTTGTCAATTATCATCTTGTGGTATATTAAACATTGTTTTATTCCTACAGGATGCAGACTTATAAAACTATTGGGGTGGAAATAGCTAGAAGTTATCCATATCTTGCTATTTCATAAACTTAAAAAATTAGTGAAAGCTAATAAGATACAATGTAATTATTGTTAAAGATGTAGACTTTTAATTTGTATTAGAAAGATCAGGTATGGCAGGGAAACCCATGCAATTGCAGGTAAAGTTTACTCAGACATTTGAAAAACTTTCAGTGGAAGAGTAAATATATTTTTCATAAGTCTGAAAAAGTTGTGTTGATCATTTATCATTTATTGAAATCATTTTTAGGTACTAAAAATATATATTTATATATCTGTAAAGTCCAGATCGAGACTTCTATAGTTACTTCTTGCTTTAATTTAAATTAGTGCTAAAACTAAAACTGACAGATGAAATGACCCTTCGTGAGAGGTAACTAAAACTGACAAATGAAATGACCACTGGTGAGAGATGATGATGAGTTTAATGATCTTTGTAGATTTCTTAAAACAAAGTTTAATGCAAAACTTAAATTTTTAATGAGAAGTTTCTAGAAAAGATTTGGGACAAGCATTTTTTACTTCTTTCAATTTAGTTTACCTTTGGCAGAACAACGAGGCTATAAAAACGTTTTTGATGCACTGATTAGAATGACTAGAGAAGAAGGTGTATTGACTCTTTGGCGTGTAAGTATCAAACTTATTTTGTTTCTAAAACAATTTCTATAAATAAAGTTGGAAATATTTATTAGAAAAAGTTTTACATTTGTTTTCATGCATACTTGTTATGATTTGTTACTTCATAAATTTTGAGCAGCTTAGATTTTTTGTGGCTGTATTTATTGTAAAATGCTCATAAATATATATGTAATGTTTACTTTTGCAAAAGTTTTAAATTATAGCATATTGTATAACAATTTAACATGCTTAAGGTAAATTCACTTCTTATGTGTAATGCATAAAATTTCAAACTGTTAAGTTATATTTCCAATTTAGAATGATTTAATATTATACAGAATTACTTACTGAGATAGATGTTTACATCTTTATGCAGATTTCCCAATTTTATTTTACAAATGCAAAAGCCTGATAGTATTACCTGACCATGTAAATACACACGTATTTGACATACTAAAGTCTGAATGTGTGTGCTGAAAACTTTCTGGAACATTTACTAATGTTTGTAATTCCAAATAAAATAACGAAAAAGAAAACTTCAAGTAGAAATTAATACATTAATTAAAATCTTAGAAATAAAAAAAACCTCCCTCATAATTGTTATAAGTATTGTAAAGGCTGTAAATTAATATTAACTTCTGATCGGAGCAAGCTATTTATGTAGAGTGAAGCTAAAAATAGGCCAGGCAATCAGTGTAGATAATTAGATATACATTTTATACAAAATAATCTTTATAGTTAAATTATTATAATAAATAATAAACTAAAATGAAAAGTAATTACGTTCAATGTACTAAATAGCATAATCAGTATTGTGAATAAAAGTAACAGTAAATAAATAATATAATTTACCTAGAAAATACAGAAATACTAGTTGTCTGTTTGAAGTATTATTGTATGACGTGTATTAGTTAGTAAAAATTGCAGATTGTTGTACTATAATTGATGAAAAATGTATTTTGTTAAGCTTGAACGTTACATTTTCAAAATTCCAGAATTAAGGCTAAAGGCATTTCAACATGAAACATTGGATGTTCTACATTCTTATTATCTAACAAATCAAAGCCAACATAATAAACTCAATCACCATTCAGTTAATTTTTATGCATATCAAATTAGTTCTACTTGTATGTTTCACGTGTAAGTTTCAAATTAGTTCTACTTGCAAGTTTCTTGTAAGTTACTGCTACAGTTTAATTTAACAAAATAATTATAGGGTGTGTGTGTAAAATAAGCATAATTGTCAGTCTAACAAAAGCTTTAATTAGTTTTTTTCATGTAATCATCCTTTAACATACAGATTTTGATAGTAAATGCTTAGCATAAAGATATTGTTTACTGGCAGTTAAAATAAATTAAACGTTTGTAATGCATTAATTATATTTGTACTATGATATACATGAATATGATTTTTTATTCAGTAATAAATGGGCCTTTTTTTGTTCTAATTTCGATAACATTTTTTAATCATTTTATTAACTTCTACCAAATCTTTCTCACAGTTTATACTTCCAGGTAATATTTGTATTTAAGCTTTTCAGTTAAGTGAAAATTGATATGAATGATCTGTTCCATAACATCGTTTAATTGATGTTTCAGAATTGTGCTATTCCATAACTTTAAGATTGGTGAACTGTAGTCTAAGTGTATAGTGTTTATCTACAATGCTTCGACTCTGCTCAAATGAACATTTTTTCATTTATGCCAAACACTGAATGCTAACTTTAATTTTGAATAAGAATTATGCTGTAATCACGTTATATTTTTATTGTTCTTGTGTCACTGAATTGCCTTGAAAATAGACTATTTATTATTGAGGTGATTGCAGTGAATAAATTCTTTTCATATGACAGTTAAAGGTTTTAAAAACAATGTTTTTATTTTGATTCAGTAAAAATATCTTGATTATCTATTCAGTGTGATTTACTGTTCAATTTAAACACTTAATTGTGAACAATTTGGTAACTATATAAATTGTGTTATAGATATCAAGATGAAGCACACACATATACACACAAAATGATAATCTTAAGGATTAATGCTTTTTTTTTCGGGACTTTTATTTCTTACTTTTTCTGAACACAAAGGTATAAAGATATTTGTTTGAATCCTTCAATGAGAAGCACTTTTTTAACAATAATATTGGGGTTTAATCTTTCAGGGTTGTATTCCTACCATAGGTCGTGCTATGGTCGTCAATGCAGCACAGTTAGCTTCCTATTCACAAGCCAAGCAGCTGCTTCTGTCGACAAGTGAGTGTGGAAAACTTGCTACATTTCACTTATTCTTTATTAAATAAAATTTGTTTGAGTGCATAAACTTCAGAAACTTAAGCAATAGTTGTGTAACACGGGAGGATATTTGAAGTGGTGCAGGTGGATTAAAACAATGTTACAAAACCAAGAATTTACCACTACATACTTCGTATAGTACTGATGTAGTATTACTTCTAAACTTGACCATCTAAAACTTGTCTTTTGGGGGAATTTCTGAATTTACTTTTACAAGTTTATTGATGTTCTTGATTATTTTATAACCAATAAAAAATGATGACAAAATCACACTGACCTCTTTAATGCATTACTCATTTAAAGTAAATAAATAAAAGATTGCTAAAAGAATATACCATAATGGACAGTTTGTTGCATCCGTAGTTTTCAAGTGCTTTATTGAAAGGAAACATTTCTGTTGAAGTGAGCTGACAGTCAAAGAATTTATTGATTTATTTTTTCTTTTCTACTGAAAATGATTATGAAAAACACACATGAAGTTTGGTGGCTGATTGGATTATCTTATGACTATAGTTAACAACTTAATAGTAGTTAATGTTATGGCCTGTCATGTGTTTGTTTATCTTGTTGTTATAGGTAAAACTTTATCAGTAGTTAATATCATGGCTTCTCATGTGTTTGGGTTACCTTGCAGTTATAGGTAAAACCTTATCAATAGTTAATATCATGGCTTCTCATGTGTTTGGGTTACCTTGCAGTTATAGGTAAAACCGTATCGGTAGTTAATATCATGGCCTCTCATGTGATTGGGTTACCTTGCAGTTATAGGTAAAACCTTATCGGTAGTTAATATCATGGCTTTTCATGTGTTTGTGTTACTTGTGATTATAGGTAAAACTTTATCATGTCTTCTTGTATGTTTAGGTTATTTTAATGACAATATAATGTGTCATTTTGCTGCCAGCATGATTAGTGGCCTCATCACTACTGCAGCATCTATGCCTGTTGATATTGCAAAGACAAGGTAAGAAAAACTATTTTTAAATGTATACTATTGTTAAAAAACAATGAAAACAAAGATTTATTCTTAGTAGGATATTTAAATTAGATGTTATTTTCTTTTCTTTTTTTCTGTGTATATATTATGAGGTCTTAAAGAGTGAACCAGATTTAATAAACTAACAAGCTACTATAATTTTATTTTGTTTATAAATTGTGGTCATTTTTATGAGATACAAAAGGTGATTAACTAATCCAAATATGGTTACAAGTTCTTCTCTGATATATTTGTTTGGAAACTTTGTTTTTATAAAAATGATACCAACTTAAACATGACATCTGTCTGCTTCTGCTATTTTATTAAATTTGTTAATTTAAGTTGTACAGTTTCTGATATTGGAAATCAGTGTAGTATGAACTTGCATAGAGTTAAAAAAAAATCTTGGAGTTTGTATAACTTCCAGATTTTACAAATTTAGTTTTATTATTATTATATTTTTTGATAGAATCCAGAATATGAAGGTAATTGATGGAAAACCTGAGTATCGTGGTGCATTGGTACGTAATGATATATTTTTATACTTCCAGCAGATATAGAAAAATTCAATGTCAGACAATATTTTGGGTAAAATAACTGAGTTTATAAGCTAAAGGTTTATAAGAAAGAGCTTTGTGTATTAATAGCCCGGGTGGTTAGGGTGCTTGATTTGCAATATGAGGGACGCGGGTTCGAGTCCCCATCTCACCAAACAAGCTCACCCTTTCAGCTGTGGGAGTGTTATAAAATGATGGTCAATCCCACTATTTGTTGGTAAGAGAGTAGCCAAAGAGTTGGTGGTCGGTGGTGTTGACTAGTTGCCTTTCTTCTTTCATCTTTCACTGCTAAATTAGGGATGGCTAGCACAGATAGCCCTTGTGTAGCTTTGTGTGAAATTCAAAATAAACCAAACAAACCTTTGTGTATTAAAAATGCTAACTTAGAAGGTTTTACCATGAAACAAAAAATAAAGTGATAATAAGTTAGACAAGTTTTTCATTATAAAAACTATGACAATTTATTACAGAGTTTGGGTTATGGGAAAGATCAGTACTAAGAATGCAATTTTTCTTGTTTTATTTGTCTATTTCTTCTGAGCATTTATTGTTATATTATCAAGCTGTCCCATCTAAACATTTGTTTTTGTTTTTAAGCTATTTTATCTTAACGTTTTTTGGTATTTACTTGAGCTCTCTGATCTAAACATTTGCTGTTTTTTTTTCAGCTATCTCATCTAAAATTTTTTTCTTTGGCTATGCTTAAACATTAGACATAAAGACTTGAGATTTAATATCATTATAGATATATCAAGTACATGTGGTATAATAATTTTATGAAACTTCCATACTTGTATTCACATAAAGAAGAAAAAAAAGATGTTTAATTATAATTTTATATTTTAAATTATAAAACTGTGTAATTTATTTATTTTCTTCACTTTGTTTTTATCTTGACTTGAAGGGAATAAATTATGACAATTAGTTAAAATACTATGATGAAAATACCTTCCAACGTTTAGGTCAAATTCTTAAAAACAGGTAGTTGTTTTAGACTTTTTTTTTCCTTTGTTTTATTGTCATTGAGAGGTCTTGTATTTAATATGATAGCATTTTTGTTAAATTACTATTTGACATTTAATAAGGTGTAGCCTATGGTTACAACATAATATTTTTTTTTATCTAGGATGTATTGGCAAAGGTTATTCGGAATGAAGGATTGTTCAGCCTTTGGAAAGGATTCACCCCATATTATGCGCGGTTGGGCCCCCACACTGTTTTAACATTCATCTTTCTGGAGCAGATGAACCAGTTTTACCGAGTATATGTCCTCCAGGACAAATCATCAGGAGGTGGAGGACTTTAAAGAATTAAGAGTATGAAACTACTTACTGTCAACAGTAGAAAAGATGTTACATCATCTAACTCTTGCTTTGTAGAATGAGTGTTTTGGTGAAACTTTTGTAGGATAATGCTTTGTTGTTTTTTTTCTTATAAATGTATTTTGATAGTGTCCTACAAACTTAACATTGCCCAATGTAAGCATTTTTGTTAGGTCTTCACAGCAAAGCTAAGATACAGGATCAGGTTGTTGTTTAGTGGTAGCATGTTTGATTATAAGTATTGCTTTACACAAGGAATTCAAACAGTGGTTAATGAAACTATTAATATCTCGAAGCACTCATGTTCTCATATGGAGTTACAAAATATTCTTCAGGCAAATTGAATGTAAGAAAATGCAAAAAAGTAGCAGAAATATATATATATGTAAATTTGTTTCTTTCAATGGTTTTTATGGTTATCAATTAAACCAATTACAGGAAACACATTTGTAAGTTGTTCAATTGTGATAGCTCTACATTAACAGTGGAAAAAGGGAGGTGTTTCTGTAGAAAACTGTTTTCAACTCTTAAAATCATCGGCCAAAAGTGTTTCTTGGATAAGAGGTATTTAAACAGAGTGAACAAGTTTAACAAGTTTTGTGATAAAAAAAAACAACAACAACTTTTTGTTTGAAACTGATGTACAACTTTGATATCTATGGTAATATTAGAAAGAACTTTATCTTTTAACTTGTTAATTGTACCATACTTCCTTCTAAAGCCATGTAACTTTCTTGACATTAAATAGTTTTTAAACTAGCTTCTCTAATAGCCTAAAGAAAATAAACTGGTGTTAGTAAAATTCTAATTAACTCATAAATCCCTATCTATGAATGTAAATGTTAGCTAATGTACAAACTAATTTTGCCAAAAAAAGATGAAAAAAAAAAGTAGGCCAAATTATGAATCGAGATTGTTTTTTTGAAAGATGCAGGGGCTGTCAGAACAAGTTGGTTAATTATGACACCAAACATCATCTATCATAATGTTGACTTGTGCAGTACATAAGTAAGTCCTGTAGTTTTGGTAAAAATTTTCAGAGAATCATTAACAGTAACTTAAAATATCATTGTAAAAGATCGTATCACCATTATATTATGTTCACGAGTGCAATTCATTGTTGTGTAATGTTCATCATAGACAGTTTTCCAAGTTTATGCTAAGTTCCATGGTTACAGTTGCTGCAATATTATGTTCTTTCATCTTGTAGCTATATAGGTTAAAAGTTCCTATTGCTTTAATCACAGAGTTTATAGATTTTACTTAAGATTTATTTATATGAAATTATAATATATGGATTATGTATGCATTAATTTATACATTTAAATTTGGAGGTATTGTTAGTTGAAAGGAAACATTTGGTTTTAAAGATGCATTCATTTTACACGAATTTCTTTCGAAAGGCAAAAATGGCAAGTTTCAACTTGTATCTTTCCCTAACAAGCTTTATCCAGTGGTACCAGCTTAGCACGCTCCACCCTGAAGCAGTGGAAAAAGTACTTAATATTTAAAAAATTAAAATAATAAACTGACCACTGAAATATATATTAAACCAAAAAGAACTTAAGTTATGTCAGTCTTCTCACCAAAATTGAAAAATACCATATCCATTATTACTTATTATTGAATTTTTAAGGCAGTTCAAATATTGTTACTCTGTTTGAAGTTAGTTTTTTAGGACACCAGTAACTTAGGAATATCAGTCATAAATGAATATTTATAGTAATGCAACTAATAAAAATATCCAATAAAGGCAAACATCCATTTTGCCAGTAGCTGTTATTTGATGGAATATATTTTCACTTAATACCATAATTTTAACACTGTGTTATTGCTTATAAGTTTTTGAACTTCCATCTTTAGGCTAGAAACCTAGATCTAATTATCTCTCTTTCAGATTTATATGAGTGGAATTAATTAATTGTGAGTAAACATTATCAGAATGTAAGATATATTATCAACCTGTCAGAATGTGTGAACTCTAACACAGTGAAAGACTATCCAGTGGTTGTGATCTTACTAACCAAAAATTATCAATAAAAAATATGAATTTGTTTCTTTTGTAATGAATTTTTTTTTACTTTATTAATTATATGAAATTTTATTAATGTAAGATTCACAAATAAAACTACTGTGAAACAACAATATGCTTATCTTTCATCACAGTGATTGTTATTTTTAATTATACTTCATAAAAACAAATGAATTGATATAAGATAATAAAATGGGACCATTAGATCAATCTTTTAACTTTTTTTTACTTTAGAACCTTATGTAAAATTCTTGAATAGAGTTGCATTCTTCTGCCACTCATGTTTCATTTTTTTTTCAATATATAAAATGGAAAATTAGCATTAACTAAATGCAGTACACTTGTGTTGAGGGACTTAGTGGGGACTTGGAGTTATAAGTAACTAAATGCAGTACACCTGTGGTTGAGGCCCTTAGTGGGGACTGTGGGCTACTGACTATAATATTAAACATTAATAATTTCATTAAAATGTAAAAATCTATCGATCTGACAGCCACAAACACTGCAGAATGTGGACTTTCTAATGATTCTATACACTAAGTGATAAGCTACAGATTCTGGCATCTATCAAGTTAATGTTATGTCTGTTATACATATGTATCTGTATTTGAACAATTCATTAGAAGTTTGAGTTACATGAATGTCATAATACCAGTGACAGTTGCTTTAATCCCTTCCAATATTTTATGCAGGAAATTGAATAGAAACCATATTTATATTGTGTAGTAAGATATATGGAAATATTTGTATTGGAAGAACTGGATACTATAAAAGTCTTGTTTGATGTCTCCAAGTTTTCAATGTTCGTTTTTTTAAATTATGTTGCATACCATACACTTCAGTATCGTTTTCAAAGATATAGTTATGGAATTTTTTTTTGTACCTCATTTATTATTAACAACATTAAAAATGGTAATTATTATAACTGCTGTTTACATTTTAAAGTATGTGAAATCTAGTGGAGAGCTGTCAGTTATGAAGGACATGTAAGCATGGACCTCAAAATTTTAGTGTGAGCATGAGCCAAAGTTTCTTGGTTCAAGTCCTGGTCAAGGTAGACTAGTGTGAGCATGAGCCAAGGTTTCTTGGTTCAATTCCTGGTCAAGGTAGACGAGTGGGAGTGTGAGCCAAGGTTCCCTGATTCAAGTCCTGGTCAAGGTAGACTGGTGTTTATCTTTGTTTGGTTATTATAGTGTGGAAGCTAATTATGTGATAAACCAATGCCAGGTTCATGCATGTGATCTTATAGTTTCACAGAGATGGAGGAAGCATTCAATGTATATATGTACTGGAGGTGAAGAGCTCACCAGTAATGTTAGAATATAATATATAATAACAAAATAAAATGTGCATTTAATTACACAATATAATATATAATAACAAAAGAAAATGTACATTTAATTAAGTTGAACAGCTTTAATTAAAAATATTACACGTTTCAAAGATGAATTCTGATCATTCTTAAGCAGTCAGACAAAAGCACAACATGTTCTTTTTTATTATTAAAATGTAGAAGTAACAGTATACCACTTAAGAACCTGTAACCCAAGATAAACATCTATGTGTTATTATTTTTCAGCTATAAGCTTTATTTAGGATGTTTACTTGCATAGTGACAATTGCTAAATTGAATTGTAAGTTTTTATTCTTGTGAATAGAGCCCTGTAAGATGATATACAGCCAAAGCATAGAGCCAATAAAATTCTTGAAAATCTGTCTTGGGGCACAGTTCTCTGTATGTAAAGTATTTCTTACTTTTGAAATTTAGGTTTTACTATTGTTACACTACCAACATTTTTCATGGAAGACAATATGAATGTAAACTTGTTTGTATCACAGCTAAGACTTTTAGAAGCTGTTTGTGCTACAGGAAATCACCTTTTAATTAGACAGACCCAACTGACAAAAATAATCAGTTCTTTGTTGTCAACTAAACAATACTGATATAAAATTAATAGAAAATGATAGAAACACAAGACATAATTAATCTTCATAAAATACTGAATATATTTATTAGGAATATTTTATTTATAACTACTTTGTTGTTTAGTTGGTCAAATAAAAAGGGACACATTTACTCTTTCTTAAAATGTACTCTCAGTGGTTCAGCATTACGTGAGGGCTTATAACACTAAAATTTGTTATTCAATCTTTACAATGGGCATAGTCAAGATAGTCCATTTTATGCTATACAGATATCTTGTGTACTTTTACAAATATTTTCACAGTATAAGCTATTTCAATAAATTTGAATTCTAAAAATATTACACAATTAGTATATGTTTTCTACAAAAAAAGAGCTAAATAGCATTGATAATTAATAACTCTTTAAGTCACAGAATATTATAGGGCTTACTTGTTGTGCTTGACCAGATTTAATTCTTCTGTTAAACTACACAATATTTTTCTCCTAAGTTAATTCCTAGGTAAAATTTGGCACAACTGTATAAAGCATAGGTATGAATGTACAATGTTAGACTTAAAAAACATAACCTTTTCCTAAGCAGAGATTCTATAATCTTGTTTTTGATAGGTACATGTGCAACAACTAGAAAGTTGTCATGTGACAAAATTTTGGTGGTTGAAGTAACTTGGGGAAAGAATAAATGTTTGGTTGAAAGTGGGTTGATTGTGACCCAGTGGTTAGTTTACCAGACTGGGGAGCTGGGATTCCATGGTTCTCAACCTGTTATTACACTAAAAAGAATCATACTCTGTAACTTGTGGTTATTGGTGCATTGTAAGAATGATATTCAAATCGCACTAACTGGCTATGGGTGCATTGTAAGAATAATATTCAAATCACACTAATTGGCCTGCCAAGAGTTGACGATGGGTGGTGTTAACTAGTTGCTTTCCCTTTAGTCCACTACTTAAAAACTTGGGATGTCTAGCAGAGACAGCTTTGCACAAGATCCAACAATGAGAAAGGTTAAAGGAATTTTCCTTAAAAAAGATTCCAGACTTTTTGAGATCCTTCAGCTCATCACGTTTTCACCCTTTAAAGTTGATATAATGGTAAGATAAGCACAAAGAGTAAATTTTCTGATGTTTCTGTTCAGTGCTTCTCTCCAACCTATCAAATATTCGCCCTTCAATGTGAATACAATGGTAATGTAAAACATGAGTACAGTGTTCTATTTCTGTTCAGAGGAGCGTCATGCACCTGCGAATAAAATACCTGTGTCACAAATATCTGAAACTTGGTTCTTTATTCAAATCGGGAGGTATTTTAAGTGTTTGACAAGATAAGATGCCAGTAGAACAATAACTTAAGAGTTTTTTCACGTTTTAAAGTGTAAAAATGTGAGCATAAAAAAAGAAGGTACAGAAGAGATGAAGCATATTATAGTACCTTATGGTGTGAGGATAGCATATGTGAGAT